CACAATCATCTAGAAAATTTACTTACAAATCTTTCTCACTCCCTCAGCAGTTTATTTTTTGGTCCCATGACTCTGTTTCTCTAGTTCTTTACTCAACACCAAATTAGAAAAGACCTGAATTTTAATTTTAAAAGAATTAAATAAAAAGCAGCCCCCAAAGAATCTAAAAATAAATGAGAGACAGCAGTCTCTCTTAACCACCAGAGGAACAAAATGTGCCAGCATGAACTGTAAAGTCACTCACTTAGGGACTGAAACCAAAAACCCCAGAAAAGAGGATGTTCTTCATTTGGAAGCCGTAGAACATAAGAGTAGCCCAGAGCACTGTTTGACAATACAGTGACTGTGTGCCAATAAGACACAGGCTATGTGACTTCAGGATGTACCATACAGTGCATTTTCATTAGAGACAGGGAAATACCTCTGATCTAAGAACAGGCAAAACCTCACTTGGAAAATAATACCCACAGTTCTATGATGTCTGAACCAGAAAGAGATATTTTCACATGCTGAAAGATGCGGGAGGAGGCTTCTAGAAGAAGTAAAATGAAGAATGTTTTCTCCTGACAGTGTGCATTGTTTAACCTTCCAAGTCAGTCTGGGACGGAACAGGATTACTTCATCTAAATACAATTGAGATGTTAAAGCTGGGAAAGAAGAATTTTCTCTGTTGGAGAATTATGTGATCAAGTTGGTGTACAGTGATCATGAGTTAATCTAGGCTATTGATTAAGAAGAAAATTTGCAAACATTAGAAGGATGAGGTTGTGGAACAGCCTTCCAGGGAAGGCCTCGGCAGCAATATCCTGCTTATTTTCAACACCAACCTTTAGAAAATTAATGGGAAGTGCTGTATAACAGGACAAGAGTGTTCTAGGAGTCAAAAGTTCAAACTTCAAAGACAAAAGACTGTTACTGTTGATAAATCTGAAAGCCATCTGAAAAGAAGCTTATCAATGTTATGCAGGCTTCATCATGTTTACGTATTTAACTAAATTCTTCAGGATTTGCATTGGTCTCCTACATTTTAGTTTTGCCCCTTTTTGCATTTTTGGTCTCTCTTAAGCTCTATTCCCATACTGCCCTGAGGCACTGAGGACAGAGGATGCACAAAAGCACCATATTGGGCCAGATGTACTCCAAGGGACATCACACAATCCCAATAAAGTCAGGTGGGTGCAGCTGGTTTGACCACTCATACCATCATACAGCTTACTTGAGAGAAGGTAATTCTCACTGAGGCAGACAAACAGATTGGTATCACCATCTGTTATGTGTCAGGTATGACCAACTTTGTAGGACCTCAGAAATTTTTGTCAAAAGAATTTCTATTTCAAGGCCTAGCACACTACTGATACTCTTGACATATCTTTCTTTTTTGCCTTGGCAGATTGGAATTTTCATGAGATTTGGTGCTAAAAGCATTAATGAGTTTCAGAATTTTCCATGTGGTTTAGGGAAGTCTGATGTTCCTGTGGCTTCTCTTGCCCTTAACACCTAATGTATAGCTTTCTGCCAGAGGAAAGGAAGGCTTTGACTCAGTAACTTACGCTGACTCTTACAAATCTATATGCTTCCCTCTTTTTAAATAGCAAGGGGACAACAACAAACATGGTATGAGATACACTGAAGATATTAAACAGATAGTAGGTCACTGGAATTCATACTCAAACACAGTCTCTTGGGTTCTTCTGCCTCGTCCACACTAGAAGTTGAAGTAACTAAAGTGAGACATCTAATCCTCCCTGTGCCTTTTGGACAAGTTAGGCCTAAAAGAAGGTGGAAACATTGCTACTAGTCCCTGGCTTCCAACAGATCCTTGTGTGGTTTGAAAAGTGGAGGCATGGAGTCCTTATTTTCTCAGCTGCTTCTTGGACTGTTGCATAAAGACAAGTTAGTTATACAATAGCTAGATAGTGATTACACAACTTAGCTCCATAAATCTAAATCAGGATCAGAGTTTCTATTCTGCACTGGACAGACAAAACAATGCGGAGGGGCAAAATTCTGATCCTAATGAAGTTAATGACAAAACTCTTGCTTAGTTCTGTGAGATCACAGTTTCATGCAAAATCTAAACAGGCTGGGTATTTAAAGCACATCTCTGTTAAGTTTTTCCAAGTACTGATGTGAGTTTCCTTTTTTGCTTTCTTTAAAAAACATAAAACAAACAAACAAAAATAATATTTTAAGACTAAATACTAAGCAGTGTCTGCAAACTTGGCCTGTATGCCTGGAAAAGTCCTGAAGTACTCTCTCCGAGTTCAAGAAAACATACTAGCAAAATGTCCTTTCCCATGTTTCTGTGTCGGTACTTTAAGCCACAAAGGCTGCTGATGAGTCACATTATTTGGGTGTCAGAGAAAGAAGGGAAAATCTGACTTGTGGTGGTTACGTGTCCAAACAACAAAAAAACAGACACCAACAAAACAAATCAAAGCCCCAGACCTAAAATCAGCAAGTAAACAATGCCATGAAACAGTGCACTGTGATACAAGAACTACTGCTGTTTGTCACACAGATGAAACTAATTATTTGCCAGTTGGATTAGTTTGACCTGGAGTAGATGGCACTGTGGGAGAAGAAAAGGTCACTGCAATTTCTTTAAGTACCCATGCTCATTCTGGTCTGACTTCTGAAGACTACTGCTGTTTCATTGAATGTTAGCACATATATCAGGGTTCCCTTTACCCTCGAGATTCCTATCTGATGAAAAACAAAAGGGAAAAAAGGAAGAGAGGAGGTAAAAGAAAGTTTATGCAATTAGCATTGCACATAGCATACATTCCCAGCCCAAGGGTTACTTCTCTCACTTTTGTCCCTGAAGTGTCTTTTTACAGCTGAGTTGATTCAGTGTAGAGTGTCATTAACAATCTGATGGTGAAGAAGTATTGGTGACCATCCTTATCTTACAAAGGCAAACTATAAATAAGCATCTTGGGAAAATCCAGCAACCTGACAAGGTTGGTAGGATCCCAGTAAACTAATTCCAGTGCATTAATACACACAAACACCAAACCATTTCCCATGGGGCTTTTGGAGTTGTATAAAACCTTCCAGTAAGCATTAGATGGATCTCTCAAGGTTGGGGAAGAATTGCTTCTGTGTATATGATTAAGTGTGAACAGTTAAAACAGACTTGGTATAAACAAATAGGTATGTTCAGTCAATGCAATTCCAGTGTCATCACTGATGATTTTATTTCTTAGGTCCGTCATAGATTAATTCTCCGGGCAACAATCTGAAAAGTCATCATTCAGCTTCTGACTAGCCCACATATGGCTGGCCCAAGGAGGGCTGTTCATAATCTCAAAGGCTCAGCTGTGTCTTCCAGCTTTTATCAGTCCAAAATAGAGTGGCAGAGTGGGCTGTGGTTCTGTCTCTCCTCCACACTAACTAAATGTGAGGTGATGGGGAAACGGTCCTTCTTGGTTTTTTTACTGTGCCAAACAAATGACTATACAAATCTATATTTTCATTCAGCCCCTCTGACATTTGTCTACCTCATCCTCCCTTCAGCCACATTTGTGTCTTTTTACTAATACCTCTTCCCAATCTTGTTTTCTTTCCTTAATGAACTGACTTACTTAGAACATCTCACATCCATTATATCACCCTCATCACACACCGTCCTGTTTCTTCTTTCTTTCTTCCTGAACAACAATGGTTTTCCCTTGGCCTCAGAAGACTGACAAAATAATGAGGGAGAGAGAATAAAGAGTGTGACTCTGAAAATGAAGCAATGGAAAAATACAGAGTTTCACTTGAATGAGGTGCTTTGAAAGGCACTCAATGACTTCCAGGTTACTTAGAACTTCCCCATGTCATGGCTCAGGTAGGACAAAATTCTGCTCTCGTTGTAAACTTCTGCTCCATTGTGTAGAAGCTTTGTTTGAGTGCTTGTGTGTAGGACTCAAGGATTAACAGAGGGATGAGCAGTGAAGAAGACACTGCTCAGTACACTATGATATGCTTGTGCCAAATCTCAGCTGCCTCTAGGAAGCACAGATGATTACCTATCTTCTATCCTTTTCTGCATGTAGTTTTTCCATGGCAAGAGTTACTTTCTCTTTCTCTCTCCCTCTCTCTCTCTCTTTTTTTTTTTTTTCCAGAATTCAAAACAAAGCAAAACATTTATCACTCAAAAAATGCTGCCTTTATCTGTTACTGCTAAGCTTGAGCATTCATTCTTAAGTGTAATGATGAAGATGGTAAGTGAACCCAATCTTGCTCGAATACGGAACAGAGGCATGTCCTCAGCCACAGCAAGTACAGTTCACTCTTCAAATGCAAATCAAGAAAACCTAGCCTTTGGTGCTCACTGGTGTCCTTGAAAAAACAAATAGATCCAGTGATTACAATTCTGTATATTTTTCCAAGTCCTGAAATGATATCATGCTTGTTTTATGTACACCAAGTAGTTTGAGGTGCCAAGTTTACAAAATAACAAAATATAAGAGAAATCTGGTTTGTATGTTTACTAATTACTATGTTTGCCTTTTGAAAGAAGAAACAAAGAACAGAGAAGACATTCCTCAGCTGTTAGATAAAGCAACAAACACTTATGTCTACCTTCCTCTGTCCTGTCAAGCATCATCTGGACATCAAGGCAATCTCCTTTCAGGCATCCCACAAACAATGGCACAGAAGTGGCATTGTCCTTCTACGGACACCAGCACAATTAGAGTGGATAAGGAGGAGACCTTTATTTTATCTAAGAAGAATTCACTGATAACAAGTGATGTGAGAAGCAGAGCATGTACTTAAAGATTAATAGTAGCTTATCTTACAGGATACAAGTCCAGCATTCACAAACTAACAGCTAGGCCATAGATTGCCTTCTGTAAGCCATGAAAACCTGATAGCCTCTGTTCCATTCATGAAGTCACACATGTGGGAGCAAACAGCAAATGCTGCCAACTACACGACTTGAATTATAGCAAGTATATCACTATGGTAAGCTGGACCTCAGTTGCTAGCACTTACAGCAGTTCACTTACCCTGTAGTAGTCTGTGCTATACACATCTCTAGACATCCCAAAATCCCCAATCTTCACCAGCAGGTTCTCACCAACCAGGCAATTCCGGGTAGCAAGGTCCCGATGCACGAAGTGCTGTGATGCCAGGTAAACCATACCAGCTGCAATCTGCTGGGCAATATGAAGCATCTGGGACTGTGTCAGCTCAGCTGGTCGGTTGCCTTCTGCCATCAGTACTGCGTCTGGACCATGTGCCCTGCAACAAAATGCAAGCCGATTTAGTGACAGGCCACTTCTGAGATATAGAGGTGAAAAGCATTAGTGATCCTAAAACCAGAGAAGTGACTTACTCAAGTAAAAGAATAAAAACTGTTACAGATTCATTGGTATAATAGCAAGAATTTGTGTCTTGTTTTTTTTCACTTACTGTTTTCTATCACTTAGAGAAAGACAGGTGATTTGAAGAGAATTATACAACAGGTATATATATTGTTCATAAGGAGATTGGTTCACAGCAACAACCCCCTGTCTCAAACAACAACCTCTTTCATGTTACATCCTTGTAACTTTAAGAAATAGTTATCAGCATTCCTGCACTATAAGCATCGCTAACCAATCCCTGGCCAGTTAATGAGGCAAACATACCTCATTTAATGCAATTTATAATCTTCTGAATAACACTTTCCATCCATTCTTCCCTTCTGGGTTTTCAGAAACCTTTTTAATTCCATTCCTGCAGACTACTCTTTCCAAGAGATCACCTCAGCTATTTTGGAAAAATATTCTACAACCAGTTTTAATTTTCTCTCAGAAGTCCTTCCTTCCTCCAAAGGAGAGTTTCAGAGAATCGCATTTCTAATCAATAGAGGTGAGACCTTAATTTATCCCTAAGAGAAGGGCATAGGAGTTTGGAAAAGAGGTGCAAATTAATCAAAATCTATGAGATAAAATCTGACATTACCTATTAGAAATGCGTTATTAAAATTGCCCCAAGGGAAGAACTTCAAGAGCAGAGTGACAGATGTGAGAAAGAAATGAAAGAAGGTACATAGCATGGCTGGCATTGCATCTGTTACCAGGTAAAGAACTTAACATCAGTTTCTTTGCCACAGGGTGTACCTAGCCACTGATTTGGTTTGAGTAAGAGAAATAACCAGAAAGACATGAAGGCTCCTACAAATACCCAGAGAAAATTTTTATCAAAAAGCATTGTACCCATTAATTGAGCTGATTTTTACTAATGACTGCTCTCAGATATGAAGCTCCAAATCACTAAATTAGAGAGCTCTACAGTTTTTGTTCGCTTCCTTGGTCTGTATGTAATGAAACTTTGGGATTATTTTTAACATTCCGTCTGTTTTTCTTTTACTTGTGATGTGGTCTGTAAATTAGGTGCTCCTCTGTGTCTGCAGCAGCCAGTAACATTCCTTGGATCCACATTAGCGTCCACTGCCCAGAAAAGCACTGGGCAGGAATGACTTCGAGGCAGTGGACCTAAATCTGAAACAGCCTTTGGCTGCGCACAGACAGCAAGGCTAATTTGGGTTACATTTCAGATTCATTTTCCCTATCAGCCTTTGGTGGCGCTGTACGGTAAGAAATACAGGCTGTTACAGCCAGCGTATCGCTCACCTCTCATCTGCAGCACAAGCTGCATCAGATGTGAAAGGAATGACAAATTGCAGCTTAGGTTAAACAGCTTGTCCCAGCATAATCATTTTACATTCTAAAGACCAGGACTGATTAATAATTAAAAAAAAAAAAAAAAAAAAAAAAAAAAAAAGAAAAAAGAAGGAGTGAAGACCTAATGGGGGAAATATATTGACTTTTAAACTACCTGTCTGTACAACAATTCTATGACAGTTAGAAGGTAAGAAAAGGTCAACAGAAAAAAATCAAAGAATAAGTATTTCTTCTAATGACAATGAATCAGCAGCAAATCTGGCTTCCTCTAATGGAAATTCAGTGCTCTGAAAAAGTATTGGGCTGGCATCTTTGGAAACTGCAGTCTTCTTATCCACGGCAGAGGTCCAAACAGGCAAATGTAAATGCACCGACACTGCTCTCACAATACACTTCAATCCTTTGCCAAAGAGACAATCAGTCTGGGAAAAGTAGTATTTGCTCTGCATCCCCAGTTCAAGATCTGGTCTCTGCCAGCCCCAGCAGCCTTTCCAGTAACGGAGGTTGCTAGTTGATGTCATTTGCTTTTATACACTGTGGCTGTTTGTTCATTGGAGATTAGAAGGACAGCAAACTCACTTCACAAAGGCTAAAAAAAATGGTGACACAAGCAGTCACTAGCAATTTCATAAGACAAAAAACCTGAACCATTTAAAGGGACATTAGTTTGATTGTTTTGCTGCTTTGTCAAAAGCATGCATTAAAGGAACATCTTTCCAAAATGGTGGTGCTCCTACCACAAGAGATCTCAGTACAGTGAAACGTTTTTTTGATATTCTGTGATGGAAACGACATAGAAGACCTTGAAAGAACAGTCCCTTATGCAAATGTTTTTATGTAGGAGCACAAGCTGTCTCCTAGCTTCTTATTTTTATGTTAGTGAATACACACTGGTGGAAATGGCACATACACAAGGCCAGTGTTCAAAGCTTGCTGATTCATGAGTTAGTTATTATTCTGAACCTTAGGTATCATCTACATATCTATGACTTCTTTACTGCCAAATTTTAATCTGTGATGTGCATTCTTCAACAGCTTTATGAAACAAAGCTGTACTCCAGAGCCCAAGATTCAGCATTTTACACTGCACTGAAGTTTTCATGGCTCACAGTTTTCTTGCCACAGACTAATGGCACTCATATCAAAACACTGGGAGGAGGGACGAGAAAAGAGGATACGTTTCTGAAGCTTTTAGATGCCTACAGTTAGTGATAGGTGTTAAGTGGGATCTTTCAAAGTGCTATCAGAAAACAGTTCCTATCACAAGCTTTATAACCAAACATTTTAGAATACACTGAAATACATCTTGCTTGGTTTCAGTTTTTTTGGTGCAAAGTTTTAGGCTTAGCATTAAGCTGAGGCATTTCCAAATGTGCCGGAAAACAATGAGCTCCATACCACAGTACACATAATGACTGTTACACAGATTTGTACTTTTTGGTGTTTGCATTTTTCTCAGGAGTTAAATTGGCATTAAATACCAGTAGCTTCCTTCACTGCCCAATTCTGGCTCTCTAGTACAATACGTGATTAATTTACCTGAGGAATTTGTTCAGATCTCCATGCTTCATGTACTCAAAGACCATGATGAGTGGATCACCCTCGACACAGACACCATAGAACTTGACGATGTGCTCATGTTGCAAGTTAGTCAGCAGCTCTGCCTCACGGTGAAAGTCCTTGCGGGCATTGTCGCTGGCATCCTTCAAAGTCTAGTGGAGAAAATGAGAATGTTAAGAAGGAGACATGTTCACAGAAAGTAGTGAACATGTGGGATGGCATTGTAAGGGTAAGATAAGGACACTGCTTGTAAAGGATGGAAGAGTTATATTCTTAGTAACATTTTCGAAATGCAGATGTGACGTCTACATGCATTTAAATAAAAGCAGTAAAGTACACTTTTTGTTCCTCTGCCCCATGTCATCCCAAACAACACTGTTTATAAGAAGATGTAGGAATACTCAGTCTTGCTTTTCCAAATACAGGAAAAAAAAAGCCTTATCAAAAAAATACACTAGTACCCGGCTGATTCATATCGTTTAGCATTTAGTTAGGCAAAATCCCAGTATCTTGTTGGTATTTGCCTCTGGTTTATGTTCCTCCCAATAAAGCTTTGCTTGCATAAAATACTTAGTAGGAACGTAGATGCACTTCTTACGTATCAATGGCATTGTTGCTATTGATGTTGGTCCCTGTGTGTGCTATATATTAGGCTATATATTAGGCAGATTTGTAGAAGGGAGATCAGATCATATATCCAAAGACCTCTGAAATTCAGTGAATGTATTTGCATGACTAAGATTAACCATATTATAAGTAACTGAAGGTTCAATCTCAAACTGATAGAGAGTAAGTAGGAGCAAAAAAGAATGCTTCCATGTCTATTTTTACTTTCCCCCCTTTTATTTATAGAACTCCAAAATCCTGAATATTTTCATTTTGAATGACATATATCAATGCTGGTTCAAATAGTAGTTTAAACTTTGTATAATGAAATAATGATAATTTACCGCTGCACATAAGCAGTTTCAGATCTCTTCTAGCATGGAAACACTTTCATGCATGAAAATAAAAGGAAATTCTGGCACCAATTAAGTTAGGAATAATCATAGTTGACAATAAACCACTACTGTGCTCTACCTTCAGGGATTTTGCTATATTATTTCAAACAATATTTTAAAAACACTGTGCGAACATTAGCATGTTACCAACGTTCATAATCTATTATTCACAAAAACTGAAGGCTGGGCTCTGAACCTCTGTACTTTAACTACATGCACACTTTAAACAAAGGAAGGTAAGACAAAACTAACAACATCACCTTAACTTATGATGGTTTTCGCTGGTTATCCAGCCACGTTGTTTTCTACTTTGAATTCGTAAACATAATGTGAACCAAACATTCACGTCAGAACAGATATAGATTGATTCTGTGTAGTCATTATACCAACAATCCCAGTTTCTTGTTATTTATATTCATGTTGTTGTGTTGTTTTTTTTTTTTTCCCCACAGTTTTTCTTCAGTATATACATTTCAGACCATTCTTTCAGTATTAAACATATGTATGTTTATGCATATGAGGGATTAGGGACTAAAAAAAGACTGTCAGAAAACCTTTGCTTTATTTCTGAAATGGCAACCATAGGTCTCAAAACAGAACAACTAAGGTGACAACGTGAAAGAGAAACTGACTGGACATTTGTTAGATTCAGGGGCTATTCCTTGTAAATTTCAGGCTTTGGGGATCCCAAGGGCAACAGTAGCCTGCCATGCCACAAATGACACTTCTCTGAGGGACTCATTTATCAGTTTAATCTGTCTTCAGGCATAAAACCCTTCTTCCACAAATTTTACTAATAATGATGCAAGGTTTTGGATCACCATACCTTCACAAGCTATTACATATTAGCATAAAAAACCGTATCATCTAAGATCGATATCGAGTTTGCTCCTCAAATATACACATACAGATACCATATACAGATCAAATGAGGAATGAAACTGAAATGTCTTTCAATTGTTCCAGGCTCTAGGATGGTGCCTGAACATGATGCAGGCACAAACTCACAGTCCAACTTATGATGAAATCAATGAGAATAATTCTATTGTCAATTGAGTCTCCTCCATGGCGGTTTCATGTATAATGCGATATAATTGCATGTTGGATTAGATGTCTTCCCAGCAAGAGAAATAAAAAAAACAATTCATATTAAAAACATTTAAAAATAATAGCTATGTAGGGAAAAAAAAATTATATAGAGAAGCACAGGTTCATACTGTTTCCAGCATACTCTTTCCATGGAAAGACAGTAAAAATGCTGACAGCTCTGCCCTGTGAGGATGGCATATTGTATATTTCAGAAGACTCTTTTTATCTCAGAGAAACAGCAAAATTATCATATGACAGAGCAGTTGCCATGGCAATTACACATTTTCTGTCAAACAGAAAAATACGGAAAGGTCTAAAGCCCTGGTAAAACTCAGACAGGGTTTCTACTACCAAGGGGCAACCTGACGTACTGTTACTTTCCACTGGAAGGTCCTCTCATTTCCTTTTAATTATCTCATGCAGCACACAGAATAGACACAATGCAAGAGAGACAGATGACAAAGGCTAGGAGGAGGCTGGAAAGTGAAACAATTAATAAGCAAGGAACATTTACATGGAAATTACACTGTGGAATGTGTTGAGCTTGTTCACAGTGTAAGCGAAAAAATCAAACCAAAATAAAACCCTAAGAGTACAAGGCAGAAACAAAGATGTATTCATTAGTACCATTACTGACAAGTAAGCCAAAGCTCTGCATGCAAAGTACTCTTAGCAGTCAATGGGAGTTTATCCAGAGCAGGGAAAGAAATACAATCACAAGCACATTTCCAATCATCAGGCTGCTGGACCAGCAGCTAAGGAAGAGTGGCATGCTCTCTTGGGCAACAGAAGCCTTTCCTGGCTAGTGCAGGCAAGTGTCCAGTTCTGGGCTCCCCAGTACAAAAAAGACAGGGATCTCTTGGAAAGAGTCCAATGGAGGGCTGCAAAGATGTGAAGGGCCTGGAGCATCTCTCCTATAAAGAAAGGCTGAGTGAACTGTTCAGCCTTGAGAAAAGAAGACTGAGAGGGGACCTGATCCAGGTCTATAAATATCTAAGGTGTGGGGGGCAGAATGGCGAGGACAGACTGTTTTCAGTGGTGAGTGGAGACAGGACAAGGGGAAACGGCTGGAAACTGCAGCACAGGAAGTTCCGCACAAACATGCACGAGAACTTCTTTACAGTGAGGTGACGGAGCACTGGAACAGGCTGTCCAGGGAGGTGGTGGAGTCTCCTTCTCTGGAGATGTTCAAGACCTGCCTTGATGCCTACCTGTGCGACCTGGTGTAGGGAACCTGCTTTGGCAGGGGGTTGGACTCGATGATCTCTGGAGGTCCCTTCCAACCCCTACAATTCTGTGATTCTGTGATTCTGTCCTTGCCCAGACATCCATGTAGAAAATGGTTCCTGCAGGCTTGTTGAGTGCAGCAAGGACAAACCAACAGCTCCTCAGTCCACCCCGACACCACAGAGTTGCATCCATGCCAAGGTCAGGGGAGAAGTGTAGACATCTGGCTCACACCAACACCACTCCTACAGTATCAAGAGGCAGCTGAAAAATGTGCCCTGCGGGTCATCCTTACCTCCAGCCCCGATCAGCTTAAACAAGGGCAAAACCAACCAGTACACAGTACACAGAGCTTGAACAACCACTGTGGCATAGCAAAATTGGCCAATAGTGAAATGATAACTTTTCTGGATAGACTGGATCAATGGACCAAGTTAGACTGTATGAGTTTCAATATGGCCAAGTGTCAAGTCTTGCATTTTGGCAACCCTACAGGCTTGGGGACGATTGGCTGGAAAGCTGACAGAAAGGGACCTTGGTGTGGTGGTGGACTGAATAGGAGCCAGCAATGTGCCCAGGTGGCCAAGAAGGCCAATGGCATCCTGGCTTGTATCAGGAATGGTATAGTGAGCAGGATGACGGAAGTCATCCTGCCTTGTACTCAGCTCTGGTGAGCCTCACCATGAGTACTGTGTTCAGTTCTGAGCACCTCAGTACAGAAAGGACATTGATGTGCTGGAACAGGTCCACAGAAGGGCAACAAGGCTGTTGAAGATCTTGGAGAATGTGCCCTATGAGGAGCGACTGAAAGAACTGGGGCTGTTGAGTTTGGGGAAGAGGAGGCTGCGGGGAGACCTTACTGCTCTCTTCAAATACCTGAAAGGTGCTTACAGTGAGAGTAGGGTTGGTCTTTACTCACTGGTGACAGATGACAGGATGAGGGGAAATGGCCTCAAGTGCACCATGCACCATGGGAGGTTTAAGCTGGATATCAGGAAAAACTTCTTTACAGAAATTGTTGTTAAGCATTGGAATAGGCTCCCCAGGGAGGTGGTTGAATCACCATCCCTAAATGTGTTTAAAAACCATTTGGATGTGGTGCTCAGGGACATGATTTCACGGTGGGTAGTTAGAGTTAGGGTAATAAAGTCAGGTTGCAGTTGGACTTGATCTTTAAGGTCTTTTCCAACCTGAGCAACTCTGTTATTCTATGATTCCATGATTCTGTGATTCTTTTTGCAATCCTCTGTTCTCTAAAAATGTCTGCAGTAAATGGTATGCTGGTTTGATTTGAAAGCACACCTGGGGAGTGAGGCTAATGCTATGCCCAGCTTGTACTGTGATGAAACTCTGTGTTCACAGATTTTCTTCACAAGTAAGCATTTAAGAGAATCATAGAATCATAGAATCTTTTGAGTTAGAAGAGACCTTAAAGCCCATCTAGTCCAACTCCCTTGCAATGAATAAGGACACCTACAGCTAGACCAGGTTGGCTAGAGCCCTTTCTAGCCTGTCCTTGAATGTCTCCAAGGATGGAGCACTCACTACATCTCTAGGCAGCTGTTTCCAGTGCCTCACCACTCTCACTGTAAAAAATTTCTTCCTTATATCCAATCTAAATCTCTGCTCTTTTATATGGAAACTATTTCCCCTTTATCCTGTCACAGCAGACCCTGCTAAAGAGTCTTTTCTTTTTTATACACCCCTTTAGACACTGAAAGGCCCCTATCAGCTCTCCCCACAGCCTTCTCTTCAGCCCCAGCTCTCTCAGCCTGTCCTCCTAGGTTAGGTGTTCCATCACAGAATGGCTTAGATTGGAAAGGATATAAAAGCCCGTCCTGTTCCAATACCCTGCCATGGGCAGGCTTGCCACACACTAAATCAGGCTGCCCAGGACCCCAACCAACCCAGTTTTAAACACCTGTTATGATGGGGCATCCACAGCTTCTCAAGGCAGCCTGTGCCACTGCCTCACCACCTTGAGTAAAAAATTTCCTCTTAACATCTAACTTGAATCTCTCCCCTTATAATTTAAAATTGTTCCCCAGGCTATCTTACTCCTTTTCCAAATAGAAGAATCTCAAGCATTTTGGGGTTACTTATGTTAATCCTGCTTCTGTACCTTCTCAGGTATCTCTGGAACTCCCAAGCAATTTGCTTCAACACTATCAATGTCTCACCAGCCTGCTGATGAGGAAAAGGATGCAGGTTGGCTCAGATATGAAGATGTTCAGGCCAATGTTTTAGTGTACTTGCATAAAGCCATACAGTTGCACGGCAGTCAGCAGTCAAGAACAGCAGTGTTGGCAGGGTCCAACCACACGTGGGTGAGGATGTGCTTTCTATCTGCCTGAGTCCCTTGGCTCTTCCTCCCTTATCACCAAACATATGCTCCTACAGGGTTCATGGAATCTACTTCATGGAGACAATTTTGCTGTAGTTTGCAGGAGGGTAAAGCTGTCGAAAGCCTTACTGTTTGCCAGGAGAAGCTACCCTTGGCTGCCAGTATACAGACCTCATCCTCTGAGGTCAAAAATTACACATTTTCAATACCAAAGCCTGTGCCAAATGGTAGAGACCGGACACAGTTCTCTGCCTAGCTCTCTATGTGTGAAAACATTCCATCTCTATCAGCTCAGAAAGCACCAGAAGATCAATCGCTAAGTTCTGTGGGGATCAATCCACTCAGAGAGTTTGCAAAAAAATTTTTTCTTAAGACAGTGACTAGAGCCTCATATTAAGAGCCAATGTAAGAACCATTAAGTGAGCATAATCGGTCCGCAAAGGTTATTCTCTGCATGGTTACCTGTGCAATTCTGTTTGACTCTAGAAAGAATGGGTTTAGCCAAAAAAGAAAAAAAGCAATAATAATAGTAATAGTAATAATAATAATAATAATAATAATAATAGTAATAATAATAGTAATGCAGTAAACTGATAGATTTGTCATCTAAACCCATGGGGACACTTCCCCTTTAAAGGCTGACTACTCTTACTTGCAAATTATACTGAGAAAGTGCATCAGAGAGATGCAGAACAGCATTTAACAGTGGAAGTGCTAGGCTCCATTTGTTCACGACATTCAAAGGGAGCAAGAGAATAGAAAGACTGTTACTTTGCTGTCAAGAACTTCTCCAAAAGTGATAGAGAAGAGGAAATTTCCACACTAGTTTCACCAAAAATACAACAGAAAATTCATTCAGTTCCAGATTTGTTTATTCTGTCCCATATTTTCTCCCCTCAGAACCCCTCTTCTCACATGACTCACATTTCTCCTCAACATGACCGAACTATCAAAAACCTTGTAAATTTGGCAAAGCAGAAAAACCTGCTATTTCTGATGGAGCAAGAAAATGGCCTACAAATCCATCCTCTTTTCATCTTCTCTCACTGCCAGATCCCGTGTCTTGTTTCCATTTACAAAAAGATGATGTTCTTGGTTTCTTTTACTGTATGGTTTCATCCAGAATGTACACATGGTTGCCTAATCATGGCTGTTCAGGAAAGATTGTCTTCTGATTTCTAAGCACAAATCAAACTCTAAATACATATTCACCCTGCATTTAATGAGATACCTCAAAATGTTGAACATCTCGTTCAGCTTTCAGCAGAACAACAGATGGAGATAGGAAATTGTTGCCAGGGAGACTGAAAACTCTGAGTGTAGTTTCACTGGTACTGTTTGCTGGTGTAGCTAAGGATGATGACTGACTCTTAGTCTTTCCGCTGTGGGGGACTAAATGGTTTTGGTACAGTAAAGCCAATCTGATGTCCAAACTCTTAGACTATACTGGAAATCTTCCTCCTTTGGACTACATTTTGGAAGGATTGACTGAAGATACAAAATTAAGGGTTATTCCTCCAGGTCTTAATTATCATAATTTCTAGATTTCCATACAGACCATTTTTAACATGAAAATATTACCGACAATTTTGTAATAACATTCCTGGTAGTTATATTAATGGCAATTGCCCACATATAATTTCAGTGGTTGATTAAAAGAATCACATAATCATGAAAAAAAGATCACCTCTGACTGGTAGTTGTACACCTAACCTATCCACTCCAATGGCTACAGATTATTTTGTTAGACACACAAATGTAACTCATGTATTTTTAATAGCCCAGGCATTATTTTTCACTAATCATATTTTAAATAAATCATAAAAGATTTTGCCCTTTTGTGACACCATCTGTTTTTCCCCTTTTTCTTATGAAATTCAGCTTTTATTTTATAATCCACAGCAAGATCAAGTATCACATTCTCTTAACACTCCATTAGCCTTGTGAACCCTCACACATATATCAGAGGAGTTGTATTGGGCTACAGAAAAGGCAAACACGATCATTTACAAATAAAACATGCAACCATGAATTAATGATGGAAATCCTAGACTCTACCTTCACTGCTACCAAGATCTTGTCCTGTTCGGGACAGAGGTTGTAACATTCTGCCAGAAACACTTTTCCAAAGGCTCCTTCTCCCAGCTCTCTTTTAAGAACAATATTGTGGCGCTTGATGTGCTGAACAACTGCAAAGAGAAGACAAAACAGAAGACAAAATGAGCTGCAAGGCTAAGAGTACATGCTTACAGATAAATAAAGGTCTGCCTGTAGAATACACTGCATGCAGTGGAAAGAATCATTGTGCCAATGCATGATTTATTAACACCTCACCAAAAAAGGCTGATTTAAATATATTTATATTTGGAGAGTAGCACATTTCCTAGGTAAGTAGACGTCAAGAATCACCTGGGAAAAGCTTACGTATCACTGTGTTTTGAAGACTGCTGTAGACCATACTGAACAGCCAATGCTGTTGTGATATTTTCTTTTTCGTTTTTTAAAAAACATGAAGGAATCAGGAAACATAAGAAACCTTTCTCATATCCCTTCTAGTGCTGTACCTCTAACAACAGCTGAAGTGTCTCATCCAGAGTCAAAAACGTTTGGAAGAAAAAGATTTAAAATTAACCTAACCCATGGATACAAAACGTGTCCAAAACTAAATCCAACTTACTCTCTGCACACACTTTTTCATCTGCTTTCTCTCTGTGTGCTATACCATAGTTACTTCAATGTAACTTTAATGTACTTTAATGTATACATTCCGTTCTCATAAATGCAAACTACAGTATTGCTCTGAACTAAGAGAAATAGAAGATGGACAAATGTTTTAGTCAGTGTCATGGACAGAGCCTTAGTGGAATGCTGCCCAGAAGCAATTGATTCAGACATTGAAGTCCTTGAGCATTTTTGTTCATCTCATTTCACAATCTCCTTCCAATGCAGGCTTCCATTTAGAAGATTTAATATTTAAAAGACTACCAATCACTGCACTATCAATTCACAATGTTTCACCTAAATAAAGCATCTGCAAGTTCAGTTTAACTGGTCTACTAAACAGAGTGGACAGCTTTTGTTGCTGAAATCACACAAAACAGCTAGAAGCTACTGACACATTTAATCTAAGCACACTTAGCTGCATTTGCAAAAAATGAAATTCAACCCAGCTTGGACAGAACCTATTTGCAACTTAAATCCTGAATGTAGTGGAATAAGAAGCACGGCACAGGCATCAGGCCACCCTCTGCCAATGTACAAATCTCCCATTAACCGCTTAACTGCAGAGACAAGAGCTGACCCTTGTCAACAGTGTGGGATATATTCATATGTAGCCAACTTCCTGACCCTTTGCTTGGCCACGTGCCTTTTCCAAACCAAGTTACCATTAAACTACCCTGCCCCATTACTAGAGAATGGAAAATGGAATGCTGATAATACCAGCAGTGAGAAGAATTCCATCACATCCCATTCCCACCAATGTTGACAGCATTTGGAGAGTGGGTCCACAGTCCCACAGAGAGAAACTCCAACATCCTGCACCTTGAGCTGTGGAGGACACCCAAGGTCTTGTAAAATGCACATGAAGGGAGCCTGGAAGAGCAGCAAACACTGCTTGGCTCTTCCTTGGTACCCCTATTCTTGCCTGGGGAGCACAAGGTGCTTGGGCAGCCATGCCAGCTCCTGGCTGCTGTGAGAGGGCCCTGATGCCATCAGTATAAGTCTATTCAGATGGAGGTGGTGGCAGCTGGGAGGCTGTGCAAGACCATGCAGCCAAGATATTCAGTTCCATACTACCACTGTCATCGCCTCAGAATGTCCACAAAGCCCATCAGCTTTGATAGCAAAGCAGAGCTGAAATTCTGTTCTACTGACATCAGCAGCAAAATCCTGTGTCTGCAGAGGGGAGGGTGTCTTTCATTTCATTCTCTTTGCAGCTACCAGAAACTTGGTAATGACCACATCTGACTTTCTAGATACTGCTCAGGTCCTCCCCACTTTGAACACCAAATACCACCACTGCCCTAGCAGTAAGAAGACTTTTGTCAAGTTCTTGGAAGACTCCACAAACAATAGTGTAAAAATAAATAAGAAACATATCAGGTATCTCCCTATATATGTGTATACTTGCAGCTGCTAAATGCTCTGAAATAAACCAAGCATTTGAATAAACAACCTGTCCCATACCAAACTGTCAAAAGCAAAACACTGCAAGCCACAGAAGAGCTTTGCTCAGAGTATATTCACAACTTGTCATGCTCTATCAATCCCTGTTACTTTTCTGAGCTGAACAAGTTACTGAACAAATGAAAAATGACAGTAAATACAACTAAATGGGTGCAGATTAAATCCAAGAACAATGTAAGTAAATCAAACATATATGATGCTATAAAAACATAAACTAAGGGAAAAATCCATTTAGCACACTCAGAGCCACAGCACTTATAACACTTTTTTCAGTAAGAGGAGATTCCAGGAAATATACTGAAAAATGCAAGTCAAAATCCGCTTTCAGTTAATATCAAGATAAAGCCAATCATTTCCACTGAACACCAAGGATTATCCTGGATTTATATTGAAGAAACAACATAGAATTTGGCCAAAGATATGGCACAACTGAATTACCAAAGAAGTGGTCTCAGAACATTTTCTCAGAGGCAAAGATACACAAATACTCAAAGGGTGGCTATGTATTTTCCTCTTTTTCACTCTAAATGGTGATTGCACTTGAGCTGCCATTTGTGCTTTTAAAACCATGTCATCCCTTGTTCAAAAGATCGTTTGATTACTGTAAAAAATATGTTACATTAAGCTAAGAGCTAAGTCAAGTTGAAACACTTAAGAGAAAAATGAAACCTAAAACATAAAGTGAGACTATGCAAACTAAACAAGGGTAAATGCTGAAAAGAGGCTACAGAGTTAAGTAATGTCTTTAAAGCCTTGCCCAAAGAAGCAGCAGACTTTCCTGGATGACTGTGGAGAATGGGCTGGCAAGAAAGAAAATTGCAGAATAGAGTTTTCTTCTCAAAGTCCCAGAGGCCTTCAACAGGGAGAATTGGACTTACAGTATCTCAGACACTAACAAACTGCATGTCACATTGTAAATGATGCATTGAGGCCTTATCCTGCAAACACTATCTGCAGGCATGAGATTTCAGTCCCCAGGCAATCAACCTCTGATGGTGAGGCTGAATAGAGAGGATCACAGCACATTCTGGAGAGGATCCAAGCAATATGGGCAGCTCAGAATCGCCTCACCACGTTGAATTCAATGACCTGGTTATGGCTGATTTCAGCCACAGACAGAAGGACACAACACAGTGAAATGCTGTGACAGAGTAAAAATGTTTTTCCCTCGGTTACAAAGCATTGGCCTGAACACTTTGCAACTACATGTGACCATTACACCACCTAAGCTGATCTTCTGCACAGCATGGAGCACACCACTGATTTAAATGACTTGTTCTTGGCAGGAAAATACCTTCTGAAAGGAGATGTGCCAGTCTTTATTAGGATGCCTGAGCTATTCATTTGCCCAAATGTGTAATAATTTTAATTGCTAACAAAAATGCAGACCTTCTTTATTTTTCTCTTAATTTTTAGCTTGTCTGGCTTGTATCTACCTCCCTTGAGTTTCAGGAGACTTTACAAAATATCAATACTATTCTTGCTATTGGTAAGGCAAAGAAATGGAAGCCCCTCTCAGATAAGCATTTTTTCTAGTTTGTCAGTCACGATAGTTCCAGGTTTTTGTTTGTTTGTTTGTTTGTTTTTTGTTTTTTTTTTTGTTTGTTTGTTTTTGTTTTGTTTTGTTTCTTTTTCTTTTTATCTGTACTGGAATTCACATTCTTGTATCACTTTCTGAGTGTGACACAAGCTTAAAATCATCACCTTTTGTACATCAAAATCACACTAGTCCTTTTAAGTCTATGTTTCCTAAAAAGTGCAAAAATTACAAAGCTTTGTGACATACATGAATGAACGTGAGCACAGTGTGAACACCTTGCTCAGCTGTAGTATCACAAGTGCCAGTTTCAGATATAGTTTCACATACCTTATGAAAACAGCTGAGCAGAAGAGAGATCTCTATAGTTATGGAGGGGCTACATCAGGAATTCACTGCATGATGGACAGACAGTAAGAGCCATAGCAATCAGGCTTCATCCTCACTACTCAATTAACTACCAACACTAGAAGATTTCATAGTGTTGCATACCCACCCAAGTCACCTGCTAAGAGTCTTTTCCAGGATACTGTTACAATTTTCATTAGTGGTACATATGTGGAACATACTGATAATATCTGTTGTACACAGTGTTTAAGGAAGAGAAAAAGGATCTTCAAGATGTCAGATAACCAGACAAGATAATATTATAGACATATTTACAATTTCATGAGAAAAAGGCAGCAGCAGAACAGATTTGTGATGTGACATGAGTTGTCATAGAAAGACATTTTACAAAGTTTCTTCATTATCTACTCCCATCATTTTTCTTGCAAGCACTACAACTCAGGTCTTTCTAAGATATTGCTAGAAAAAAAAAATAGGTGTAAATGGCTGAGTAATTGCTCAGATTGTATACTGAATTTGTTCAGCATTTGTCATTCACATAAAAGGCAGGGTGGAATTTCAGAGAGAATCATATAGCAGGAAGAAACAAAATCACTACAGATAGCAGACAGCAAGTCTAGCCCAGTGACCTTTGGATTCTGCAGCAACTGTAGCACTACAACCCTTTGTGCTATTGGCAGAGTAGAAATTTTGGCACACTGAGATATCTACTCTCTAACATGATAATAAAATGGCAGTAATAACCACCAGCATCATAAAATAAAATAAAATAAAATAAAATAAAATAAAATAAAATAAAATAAAATAAAATAAGATGACAACTTGCCTGTCACGACTGCTTGTATGTAGAGATAAGCTCTGTATTGAGAATATATTTCTGATTATTTGGTGTTGCTTAACCTATACAACATCTATTACTCACCATTCTATTTACATTTTTGTGTGATGCTGCTGTTTAATTATTACCATATGGCAGCAACAAATCCTCATGCAAGATCAATATCCTGTTCTCGAAAGTGCAAACAAGCAAGCAGTCAGTTTACATGTATATAGTCCACACTTGAGACACAAATAATCCCTTTAATGAGATTAAAATAAGCCAACAGAAAATCTGCT